TTGTAGCCCAGGCTGGTCTCAAACTCACAATGATCTTCCTGCCTCGGCCTCCTGAGTGCTGGGATTACAGGCCTGTGCCACCATGCCTGGCTTAGGATTGATTTTTTAAGCTTTCTTCTTCTTTTTCTTTTTTTTTTTTTTTTGATACTGGGAATTGAACTCACAACCTTGCACTTACCAGACAGGCTCTGTGCCACTAAACTATATCCATGGCCTTTAGGATTGATTTTTACTGCATCTATAGCAACAGTATATTATTGCGTTATTGTTGACTTACTAGTGGAGACAGAGATTGAAAACTACAAACTAGAAATAAAAGCAAATAATACAGTAGCAAATTCACTGCTGTTCAGAGTTCTTGACATAAGTATATTAGCTAAGTGAGAATATTGTTCAAATATATTGTCAAATCATACATTTTATTAGATAAGTTGCTTTTTGGTTAATGATCAGTGTGCTATTCAGTTGCATTCTTTTTTTTTTGAGACATGATCTTGCTGTGTAGTTCAGGCTGGCCTTGAACTCATTATGTAGCCAAGCAGCCTAACTTGCAGCTGTCCTCTTGTCTCAGACTCCCAGGAGCTGGGTTTACAGGTGCTCCTTAAATTGCATTCTTAATCTGTTGATTGATTTGTGATTTTTAAGGACACTGAGATTTAGTTGTTGATGTCTCTTCAATTTTTTTCTTAGGGCAAGAAGATTATGACAGATTACGACCTTTGAGTTATCCACAAACAGATGTATTTCTAGTCTGTTTTTCAGTGGTCTCTCCATCCTCATTTGAAAATGTGAAAGAAAAGGTAAGTTCAGAAAACTGTTCCTCTGTAAAAAAAGGTCATCATAGAATTTCTGTTGATCTGTCGTATTAGCTTTAGAGGCTATGGATTAACAAGAGTGTATTTAAAATACCTTTTCTTTAGTGGGTGCCTGAGATAACTCACCACTGTCCAAAGACTCCTTTCTTGCTTGTTGGGACCCAAATTGATCTCAGAGATGACCCCTCTACTATTGAGAAACTTGCCAAGAACAAACAGAAACCTATCACTCCAGAGACTGCTGAAAAGTTGGCCCGTGACCTGAAGGCTGTCAAGTATGTGGAGTGTTCTGCACTCACACAGGTAAGGGCTATATGGAGCTTTTTTACAGCTGAGTAATTTCTTGAAGATTGGGATATAAACATTATTTCTAATAGTGGTTAGTAGTACTCCAAGCTGTCTAGGCAGAATATGACTGGCGTCACACTGTGTGTTGCTTGCTGGAGGCCTCTGTGCTTATAGAGAATGTTATTAGTCTCTAAAACTCTTGTGTTGGTGAACTCTCATGACAGAGTTGTGTGGATTTGAAGCAGTCAAGGTTGTACCAAAAAAAACTTAAAGGAGTGGTCTAGATAAGCACAAACTTTCAAGAAAATATACGAGTGTTTTTTTTCCCCTTAGAGACTTAATTTTTCCTTCCTTCCTTCCTTCCTTCCTTCCTTCCTTCCTTCCTTCCTTCCTTCCTTCCTTCCTTCCTTTCTTT